CACACAACCCCTGCCCCAGGCCCAGCCCGATTCCCCTCACCGGAGGTGGGCCTCCAGCACCCGGTCCAGGCTCTTGTAGAAAGGCCGGGAGGTGTAGTAGCCTGTCCAGTAGTGATCCTCCCGGTCCGCGTAGGAGAAGAAATCCCCACTCAGCACCGGGAACCCAGGCGGCTTCATCCCTGGCACAATGCCCACCTTCTTGTACAGAGCGTCAAAGTAGTCAGAGAGCGTCCCAAACTGTGCCTGCAGGATGGCACGCGCAGCCCTGAGTGCGACAGGGAGCCGCCGTGGCTCCCGAGGATGGGGGCTCCCACCACCCCTCCCAGCACTGCCCACCCTCCTACTGGGCTCTGCATGTGGCCTCCCCACAACCTCCGTGTGTGGGGCCCTGCTCCCCCCAGCCCCCCATGCTGACCCGGACCTCCCTGCACATACCTGGACATGGAGGTTGGGCCGGGAGTTGAGGAAGTCGAAGATGCGCTGGTAGTTGAGGAACTGGGCATCCCACTCCTGTGGCTTGTCATAGCGGAAATCATCTCCCAGGGGCACCAGCAGCACCTTGCTGCGGTACAGCTTGGACTTCTTGCGGTACTGGTCCAGCAGCAGCTGGGCTCTGCCATGGGGGGCCAGGGCGTGAGGCTGGCTCCCGGACAGGGCTGTGGGGCTCAGAGCCGCTTGTCCCTGCCCTGCAGCACTCACCGCTCTGCCACGTTGGCATCGGTGATGGCTCGGGGAGGCACCTTCCAGGGGCAGTTGATCCGGCCACCTGGCAGGCGCTTGAAGTCAAACTGGCAGCAGATCTTGGGGTCTGGCCCACAGGTGTGGGGCACGTCATAGCTGTAGAAGGGCATCATGTGGCAGAAGATGTCGGTGCTGGCATCTGGGTCTGCGGGACCAAGGACAGATGAGCACCAGCAATGCCTATCCCCAAGCAGGGGTGCCCACAGGCACTTGGGCATGGGGACGGCTGCTGAGGCAGAGTAGACCTGGCACACAGGCTCACCCGCTTGGAGCCCAGAGGGCACAGCAGCCTCCCCCAGAGCGCCAGGCACAGAGGGGAGTCACCCTGGGGCTGCCCCGCAGGGCAAAACTGCTGCAGGGCAGAGCTATCGCCTCCCGGTGCTCGGCTCACCATCCGCACAGGAAAGTGGTCGGTAGCTGTTCCCTGCTGCCACCCACCCCAGCAGGGCCCCTTCTGCGGTCGCCTCCCCAGCAGTCCCTCACCCCACGTCTGTCTCCACATGAACTCCAGGTTCTGGGTGGCAGCAAAGTGCTTCTTGATGGCATAGTGCACGCGCTGGATGAGCATGCCTGTCAGGTTGGAGCGCTTCAGCAGGTAGGGCATGGTGGAGCTGTGCCCAAAAGGGTCGACGGCCCAGCCCGACCGGGGCGTCACGCCTGGGGGCACAGAGACCCGTCAGCCCCGCACTGGGCCTGGCAGCACCTCCTGTGAGCAAGCTCCTGCCAGGCATGGGGGTGCCCGCTGGCGCATCAAGCAGGCCCCCAGCCAGCACCCTGCCCCTCCTGCCTGGCATCCCGCCCAGTTCTCACCGATGTTCTTCTCCAGCCACTGGTGCCCCTCGATCAGCTGGTCGATCATGGCAAAGTAATGGGAATTGGCCTCGTCGGGCATCACCCAGCCACCCGTCACCATCTCCAGCTGCCCGTTGCCAACCAGCCTGCAAGGGGGACACACGAGATGTGATCAGCTCCAGGCAGGGCCCTGTGGCGAGCCGTATGTCCATGGCAGAGCCTCGCCCCGTCTTGGAGCCACCTGGGTCCCACCCACAGCCTCCGCAACCACCGGCTGCTGTGCAGTGCCCACGCTGTCCCCTCGCACAGCCCCAGACAGACATCCCTCCACAGCACCACGCTGGCTGAGGCCCCAACCAGAGCCCATCCCCACACAGGCCAACACCTTCCACTGTGCCCTGCAGCCCACGTTCCCTCTGTCCTCCACCCCCAGTCCTCCTGGGGCAGGGGGGCTGACAAGGGGGCCCTCTCCCACCACACAGTGCTGCTCTCCAAGTCTCCCACCCTCTGAGGGCACCCTGGGCCTTGCAAGGCGCTGGCCTCGCTCAGGCTCTGAGGCAGTGCTCAGGGTTACAGCGACGAGAGGGAGTTTCCCAGCCCCGTGAGCACAGGGAGCAGCGCAGGGCGAGACCTGCCTCCCCTGGCCCCTCAGGCCCCCGCTGCGGAGGCCCCAGTGCTGGCAGCACCCTGGCTCTCACTGCACACTGCTGTGGTTTTGACATCTCGTGGCACTGAGAGGTTGCTGGCAGTGCCAAGGCACCCCACAGTGAGCAGTGCAGACCCCACGGACGCTGCACTGCAGCCAGGGCAGCCTTCGTCTCCCCAGGGCCCTTCCCTCACACTCCCCGTGCTCACAGCAGGCGCGCCTCCTGCAGCGCCCTGCCTCCGGGCAAGGACTGTGCCGGGCATCGGGGCCAGGTGGGCAGCCCTACCTCCGCACTGCAGCCCGCTTCTGGGCACTGATGTTGTCCCACCACTTGGAAAAGAAGGAGATCTCGGACCAGATGAAGCGCCGGCGCGGGTCCTCCTGCATCTTCAGCACCATGCTGTTGAGGATGTGCTGCGTCTGGTCATAGTAGTACTTGTCAAAGGTCTTGATCCAGCCTGCCAGCACACATAGGGGGTTCACTGCACGGGGCCCAGCCCTTCCCCACCAGCACTGCAGGGTGACAGGGGCTGGGCTAGCCCTTCCGCTCCCCTGCCCACCTTCGCCCACTTGCTCACCCGGGTCGTTGTGGGAGTGTGGCACCACAAACACCTGCAGGGGCTCAGCGTCCCACTCATTGGGCTCATAGGTGATATCGAAGCCCTGCTTCCACACACCGCCATCCTGGTTGTCAAAGGGCAGCAGGGAGTAGACGGCCAGCATCTGCCAGGTGGGAAACAGGGCTCAGGGCAGACACCGGATTGAGAGACCCCCAACAGAGTAGGGCTAGGACCCCACGGATGCCCTGGTACGGACCCCCTCATGCTAGCAGAGATGGGCCCTGAGCTGCTGGGCTGAGCTGCTGGCCTCTCACCTGCAGGTCTGGGCTCTGGCCCTTGCCCCCCAGGGCAAACTGGCAGTCCTGTGGGGAGACTGAGAGGAAGCTGGGGCGACTCTCAGGGGGCAGCACCCAGGAGCCATTGGGCGTGTGGTGGGGCAGCGCCGGCTGCCCCTCTGCATGGGCCGTCAGCTCCAGCACTGAGTCCTTGATGTGGCTGATGATCTCATGGTTCTCCTCCAGCAGCTGCTCCAGCTGCTCAATGCGGTTCTGCAGCACTGAGATCTGACTCTGGGGACACAGATGCCGCGGTGAGAGCCTCCAATGCCCTTTGCCAGGTGGGTCCCGTCCCCCACGTGCACTGACACCAGCAGGGAACAAGCCCTGGCCCAGGCAACCAAACAGCCTCAGGCTGTGTCGGCTGGCCCCGCTAGCCCTCGCCCACTTGCGCATTCTCCTGTCCCCACAGCCCTGCCGCTCACCCTGGGGAAGTTGCCCCCGCTCTGGTGGCGCGTGGGGTCGTGCTGCACCCGGTCCAGCATCAAGTAGAGGGAGAAGACGGCCACACAGAAGATGGCAGCACCACACACTGTCACCTGCTTCTTCAGCTTCATCCCGGAGGGCTGAGGGGACAGACCTGCACCGGGGCAGAGCAGCGCCGCTGTCCCTGCTAGCCCAGCCGCAGGGCCAGGGCCGAGAACGGGACGGGCACAGGGGCAGGACAGGGCGCCAGGAGACACGGGACGGGAGGGGACGGGACGGGATGGGACGGGACGGGA